GTCTCTTATACACATCTAGATGTGTATAAGAGACAGTGCTGACTCAGAGACACGTGTGGTGCGAGAGAGAGAGAGAGAGAGAGAGAGGGAGAGAGAGAGAGAGAGAGAGAGGGTCTGAGAGACAGACAGACAGAGAGAGAGAGAGAGGAGAGGGAGGTGAGGGAGGTGAGGGGGAGAGGAGGGGCTAGTATGCACTTACATAGATCATGGGTTTACCACAGATGAGCGCCAATGGTTTTCCTGGGAATCGCGAAGAATTATAGCGCGCGGGAATGATCCCAAGCACTCGTTGGGGGGATCTTGTGCCAGTTCTGACCATAGACCGGCTGTTGTTGACGTCAACCTCTGGTAAGCTCTGAGTCCTACAAGGCGTACCCGCCATCCTAGCGCGAAAAGCTTCCTCCTGCATCCGTGCAGCCAACAGACTGTCCTGCAGGCGGCTATCGTTGTTAGGCACGCAGGGGGAGCAAGAAGAAGTCACCATGGCCGACGCAGAGCTCTTGGAACATTGTGGATCGGAGTCACAAAGCTCGGAGGTGCCAGAGAAGCCGCCATTGCCGGAGCTGTCAGTATCCATAGCCACTGGCAGAGTTGGCGATGGCGGCGAAGCGGACGAAGCTCTGCTGATACCGACGAAGCTGGCGATGGAGGTGAAGCTGGTGAAGCTGACAAGGCTGTAACCTCAGCTGTTGGGGAGCTAGATGTGCAGATTCACTTAGCTGCTGCTGCTGCTGCTGCTGCCAACGTCGCCGATGTTGGCAGAGCTGGCGACATTGGCGATGGTAGGGATGTTAGCAATGTTGGCGATGTTGGCGATGCTATTGGCGAAGCTGGCGAAGCTGGCGAAGCTGGCGGAACATCGCCAGCGATACCGTGGCGATGCTGGCGAAGCTGGCAAGGCTGGCCAAGCTGGCGATGCTGGCGATGTTGGCGAAGCTGGCGATGTTGGCGAAGCTGGCGATGTTGGCGAAGCTGGCGATCCTGGTAATGCTAGCGATACTGGCGGTACTGGGGATTCTGGCGATATTGTGGCGATTCTGGCGATACTGTGGCGATACTGTGGAGATACTGTGGAGATACTGTGGCGATGCTGGCGAAGCTGGCGATACTGTGGCGATTCTGGCGATACTGTGGAGATACTGTGGCGATTCTGGTGATACTGTGGAGATACTGTGGCGATTCTGGCGATACTGTGGAGATACTGTGGCGATTCTGGCGATACTGTGGCAATACTGTGGATACTGTGGCGATGCTGGCGAAGCTGGCGATGTTGGCGATGTTGGCGAAGCTGGCTATGCTGGCAAAATCCTGGCAATGCTAACGATGCTGGGCGTGCTGGGGATACTGGCGATTTGCTGGCAATGCTGGCGACGCTGGCGATACTGTGGCGATGCTGTGGCGATACTGGGGATGCTGTGGCGATGCTGGCGAGTCGCCCCACCGACCCTACCAGGGCAGTTTCGAGAACGACTCGGCGTAGCGAAGATAGCCAAGAGTTGCCGTTAACTCATCAATTGATTGGTGGGTTGATGGGTTGGGTTAACCCATTGATGGGTAACGGAGAGGCACTGGGAGAGAATAAAAACCCTGTGGCCATCATCAATTGGATAGCAAACAGTTGGGTTAACCCGTTGATGGGTAACGGCAGCCAGTCGGGTTAACCCCATGGTGGGTAACGGCAGCCGGTTGGATTGACCATGGACGGGTAAGGCCAACCAGTCGGGTTAATTCATTGGACGGGTAAAGCAGCCAGTTGGGTTAACCCATTGACGGATAACCGCAGCCAGTTGGCTTAACCCACTACCTTGTTAGAAATCATGCCAATACTTGCCGATAGAATGGTAAAACACCAATGGGCCTTGCTCAGTTGGTACAACACACGAACGGTTTTTCTTTTTGTAACCCCCCACAGAAGACCCTCCTAAACACCCTTCCTCTGATCAATTACCCCAGCGCAAACCGACCCCTCTGTCCTGGGCCTGTTTTTTTTTTTTTTTTTTCACAAGGAAGAAAAGTTTTATTATCAACAAAGAAGAGGCCGGGAATACCTCATTGACTTACCGTGAGCACAGCCCGTAGTTCGTTTGTGTTTATGTGGTTCAGGAAGGGTAAGGTAGTGATTATGCTGTATGTATGTTTTGTCATGTTCGCTATACACAACTCGAAGAGAGTGTGTGTTTAGGTTCCCGGTTGGTGCTTTATTCACGATGTTCATGGGACGCTGGACCCAGTTTCCAGCAGGTGGCGCTCCCCATCAATAGACGGGAGAATGTATGTGTGTGTGTGTGTGTGTGTGTGTGTGTGTGTGTGTGTGTGAGAGAGAGAGAGAGAGAGAGTGCGTGTGCGTGTGTGT